GAAATGACTAGACAACCATGAAGGTTCCGTGGCGCCTATGGCGGTAACCGAAAGGACTAGACAACAATGAAGGTTCCGTGGCGCCTATGGCGGTAACCGAAAGGACTAGACAACAATGAAGGTTCCGTGGCGCCTATGGCGGTAACCGAAATGACTAGACAACCATGAAGGTTCCGTGGCGCCTATGGCGGTAACCGAAATGACTAGACAACCATGAAGGTTCCGTGGCGCCTATGTCGGTAACCGAAATGACTAGACAACCATGAAGGTTCCGTGGCGCCTATGTCGGTAACCGAAAGGACTAGACAACCATGAAGGTTCCGTGGCGCCTATGTCGGTAACCGAAATGACTAGACAACCATGAAGGTTCCGTGGCGCCTATGGCGGTAACCGAAAGGACTAGACAACCATGAAGGTTCCGTGGCGCCTATGGCGGTAACCGAAAGGACTTGACAACCATGAAGGTTCCGTGGCGCCTATGGCGGTAACCGAAAGGACTAGACAACAATTAAGGTTCAGTGGCGCCTATGGCGGTAACCGAAATGACTAGACAACCATGAAGGTTCCGTGGCGCCTATGTCGGTAACCGAAATGACTAGACAACCATGAAGGTTCCGTGGCGCCTATGTCGGTAACCGAAAGGACTAGACAACCATGAAGGTTCCGTGGCGCCTATGTCGGTAACCGAAATGACTAGACAACCATGAAGGTTCCGTGGCGCCTATGGCGGTAACCGAAAGGACTAGACAACCATGAAGGTTCCGTGGCGCCTATGTCGGTAACCGAAAGGACTAGACAACCATGAAGGTTCCGTGGCGCCTATGTCGGTAACCGAAAGGACTAGACAACCATGACGGCTCCGTGGCGCCTATGTCGGTAACCGAAATGACTAGACAACCATGAAGGTTCCGTGGCGCCTATGTCGGTAACCGAAATGACTAGACAACAATTAAGGTTCAGTGGCGCCTATGTCGGTAACCGAAAGGACTAGACAACCATGAAGGTTCCGTGGCGCCTATGTCGGTAACCGAAATGACTAGACAACCATGAAGGTTCCGTGGCGCCTATGGCGGTAACCGAAAGGACTAGACAACCATGAAGGTTCCGTGGCGCCTATGGCGGTAACCGAAATGATTAGACAACCATGAAGGTTCCGTGGCGCCTATGGCGGTAACCGAAAGGACTAGACAACAATGAAGGTTCACCTCCTGGAGTATTTCAGTTTAGAGACACATTATTGTCACGTTATTCACAAGGTGGCCCCCGCCTGTTTGTATGGTAACTAGGATGTAGTTGAAGCTTTTCATCCCAGGGACAACAGGCGATCATCCATGGCGTTTCAGACAAAGTGTTCTCTTCTTCTGGTGTTCTTGCTAATCCCATCTGCTCCTGTTGCTTTTTTTGTGCATTTTTGTGTGTGGAGGTGTTGGTCAAGGCCAAAGGGAAAATTCAGATAATGACGTCAATGGAGATGTCGCATCAGCATAATGGCTGACTGTTTCAACACTTGAGTTCCATTCAAGGGCTTTCAAATCGTTTCAGTTGCCATTTATCAACTCATCATCATCATCATCCTCAACAACATCATCAAGTGCTTTGCCGACTGGTTTACTTTTTCAAACTGTCCACCGAAAAAGAGACACATGTCATCATCATTATCATCATCATCAAGTGTCTTGCCGACTGGCGTGGGTATTCATGCCTCACCACAATCTGCGATATAACAGTTCATGAGTTGACAGCCCTCCATGCCATGATAATAATGTTGTCTAGAACCTTCTTGGGTTGTCTTCTTCTGTCTCTCTTTCCGCAAACCTTTCCACTGGTCACTACATGTTCTAGTTTCCTCCTTGTCATAGCATCACAATGAAACGATAACTGCCTCTTTCTAATGTTTGCTGTATTTTTCTAATACTCAGCTCTCTGAAAACATTTGGTCTTCTATTTTAAGCTGTCCAAGGAATTGTAAGCATTCTAAGAATTCTTCTGTAAATGCCGCCTGTGTATGAATTGTTAAGGATCACAGCCGTATCTTAAAACTGGCTCTGTATAGCATGCGAGAATTCTGTTCCGAACCTCCGATGAGATTTTCCATGAAATGTCCTTTATTTTTTTTTTATAAAATGCAGTTTTGGCCTGCCCGATTATGTTCTTGATCTCTGTAATACATCTTCCCTCTGATGCTATCCTAGATACTTAAATTTCTGTACTTGTCCAAAAATACCGCCTGTGTCTTTTATAAAACATTTAGGCACTATCCTTGTCTTTGCTATCACCATTGCTTCTATCTTCCCATTACTCACACTAAGGCCCATTTCATTACTTTATACCACCACTGTATCTGTCAGTACCTGTAGTTCTGTCTGGCGTGACGCTATCAAGATGGTATCATCAGCATAACGCCAGTTGTGTATGTTATGGTCCCTGGAACTTGTTTAGCCCCTCCCCCTTTTTTCACACTTTCCCCCCAGCATTTAATTTCTTCTTTTGTGGGCAGTGTTATGGCTTATTATGTGACAATTGGAAGATGATGATAAAGATGACGATAATGATGATGGAGACGACGATTATGGGGGATGTTGCTGATGATGGAGACGACGATTATGGGGGATGTTGCTGATGATGGAGACGACGATTATGGGGGATGTTGATGATGATGGAGACGACGATTATGGGGGATGTTGCTGATGATGGAGACGACGATTATGGGGGATGTTGATGATGATGGAGACGACGATAATGGGGGATGTTGCTGATGATGGAGACGACGATTATGGGGGATGTTGATGATGATGGAGAGGATGGTGATGCAGATATTGATGAAGGTGGACGGGATGGTGTTTGTGCTGGTGGTTATGACAAATATAGACGTCTCAACAACAGCAGCAAAAACAACAAATCTCAGTGATAGGCCATTTAACCCAAGTGTCACAGCCCTTTCATCTGCCTGGGTTGACTGGATTGTATTCACGATATTCACAGCATTGCACAGGATGGAGCTAAATAGAGGATTAGACTCCAAGCCTTGTGTGTGTGTGATGAATGCAACAATAGGACGAGGATCATGATTCTGATGCTGATAAAGATGATGTTTTAAACAAGCTGTCTCTTGTGTCGATTGAACTCTGTAACCCAACCCTTGTCTCCTCAGACAAGTGAGTCAGTTACATAACACACATAAGCGACACTGCGACATAAGATGTCTGAGACAGATGGTCAACAAAACTAGAAGAGATCATGTTTGGGAATGTAGGTGGAGGTGGTCACTGCAGTCTTCCGCTGGTTTAAGAACCAACTGCACACACATGTTGTGATTATAACTGACTCTGAGAGCACATTGAGAAAGGAGGAGACAGGTATTATCCATGCAGAGTGGCAAGCATCGCATCAGACGTCTATATTAGTTAGCGTCCTTTAGATATTTTCTCCAGTACATTCCAGTGTACTAGTAATTGAGTAGGCAGAAACATTGGCTGGTTTTTACCTTTTGTTGGCACAATGATACCTGACAAGGTAGATGATTGTAATAGCCCTTTGAGAGCGAGTAAACAATGAGGAGGTAGACCCTGGTCTTCAATTTCTGAAGAGAATGGCTCAGCGAAGAGTGACCCGTGGATAGACTCACGCTCAACAGTCGGAGTAGGGGCGAGGCGGACGTTCATCCTTACTGTTAATTGATACCATCTGAGCTTGTTGCAGGAAATGGAGACGAAGCGTTTATGAAAATGTACCGAGTGCTATGATATCGGTTCATAACTCATAACTTGTGTTTGCTTATCATAGCATTTCCTAAATCTACGTGTTTACTTATTTAACGCGGGAGCACAACTCTATCATTTAAAAACCTGCGCTGTGAGAGGCTCCCACTCCATTTACTGTAGAAAATATCATGAAAAAGAGTGCCGCTTGTAAAAGATTCAGGACAGCAGAAAAGTAATCTGCCGAAGTGTTCTGACACCCCTTCCTGTATTCTGGCCATAACAAAGACGATATTTAAATTCCACAATAGATGTTTACTCAGATGAATACCAGTGCCCTATCCTGGCTGAAACCTTGTTGCCAGCTGAATTCAACCTGGCCTGTTATAAATCGCAACAGAGCGAGTCCTGTATCACAGATGCTGTCGGAGTTTCTTCCCTTGCAGTCACTACTGTTCAAGTAAGGATTATGTCCAATTGTGCATCTGTTTCTATGCTCGTCTTTCCTTTCCTTTCGTTGAACGTTCTAGACAAAGGTTGTTTCAGTTTTAATTTATGAATTGAAATTTAAAAAAAAAATTTCAATGACCCCTTTCCACACCTTCTAGGCATATAGGGCATATAGGGCCTAATTTTTTTAACCAGTCAACATCTGGTGGGGGGATGTGGTCATCACCCTGCCGGTGGCCTTTACTTCCGATGACTGCACCTGGTACCCACTCAAGGCTGGGTCTACCTGGGAGCCAATGGCGTGATTCCTGGGGTAAATATGTTGTTTTTCCTCTTTATTCACCACTCCTGAAGTGTAAATATGTTTTTACCGCCTGTATTTGGTACCTTTAGGGTTTAAATATGTTATCACCGTCTGTGAGGAGCGGCTGGCCGAACGGAACGCTGGGTTTTCACGGAGGAGACCCGGGTTCGAATCTTTACTAAGGCTGGGGATTTTTGTCTGTCGAGGGAAAAATAAAATTCTCACCTTCACAATCGTGGCTGTAAATCCTCAGACTCAAAAGCCCCCCCCCCCCCCCCCACCGCACCCCGCCTACACCGCAGTAATTGGGCAGTTTTTTTTTATTACCGTCTGTACTTGCTATATGCATAATATATATATATATATATATATATATATATATATATATATATATATATATATATATATATATATATATGTGTGTGTGTGTGTGTGTGTGTGTGTGTGTGAGAGAGAGAGAGTGTGTGTGTGTGTAATAAAAAAGCAATAAACATCACTTTGAATATGTATTTTTGTTGCAGACATTTCTTGTGGGAACAGGAATCAAAATGGCTACTGGAATGTGGCGTCTGCTCTGCTGCATGACTTTGCTCTTCACTGCTGTAGCCAGTCAGGCAAACACTTCGTCATCAGACTGGGTGAAGAACTATCTCGACACCTTATCCCAGGCCAAGAAAGCCAACACCATTCTGCCCTCTCAGCTGGTTTTCCAGTTTAAGCACTTGGAATTTGAATGGCCGTGCGAGTACGTCAAGGAATTCTACCAAGAGAAAGGCCTCTACGATCCTCTTGAGAATGTCCTTGCAGGAATAGATGTGTACAACAACGATACGTTTGTTACTGTTTACAGAACATCAGAGAAAGTTTCGTCAGGCTCGAACAAACTTGTGGTCAATAATGGAATGACATCGCTGCAACCATTTCCAAATCTAACAATGAATCAAGCCGGCAAGTGTTCAAATTTGCAGTTTCCCATAAAATCCATCACCGATCCGAACTCTGGCTGCATGTACATCATTGACATAGGCAGCGTCAAGAAGATGGGAAATTCCTCCGAGCAGACTTCAACATCTGGGAACACAACCCAACCTTGCCCTCCAAAACTCGTGGTGCTGGACTTGAAAAAGAATGGAACGATTGTGAGAAGTCATGACCTAGCCGCTGCTGAACCGAGAAGCACTAGCTACTTGAAGGACATCACTCTGGACTATGGAGATAGGAACAACACTCAAGTCAAACACGCTTACATCACGGATTCTGGTAACCAGCTACTTATCGTTTTCAATTTTGACACAAATACTTCTCATTCTTTTGCTCACGACTCCATGAAATCTGCAGCTCAGCAGACGGCAACATCAGGGTCTAAAAACGCTATCAACAGCATTACCGTGGATTCAGAGTTTAAGTTTGTCTACTATAATTGCCTCGGCAGCCAAAAGATTTCGCAGATTCCGACGGCGGTTCTTCAGGACAGTCTTGGGGACTTCGCGACCAAACACAGGTATGTGGGCAACACCACAGTCGCATCTGGTAGCGTGGTTTGTGGCAAGAAGGGGCTTTACTTTGCAAGTGTCAACACCAGTTCGGTGTACAGGTGTGTATTTTTGTTATACTTTTTATTATACTTTACCTGCATCATCATGATCATCATCATCATCATCATTAACATCATCATCACGTAACACCAATTGCTGTTGACTGTTTGTGATCAGCTCCCTCCACCGTTGACGGCTAGATGCCATGGACGTCATGGTTGCACGCATAAGGCCCTTCCAGTCAGTCAAGTTCTGTATCCAGTCCTTTCTTGGTCTGCCTCTTCTTCTCTTTCCCCTCTACTGAGCCCTGTAGTCTTGTTTTTGAGAGGCCGATAGATCTGATTACATGTTCATACAATTGACATTTTTACCTAAAATTCGCTTACAGGTTTGTATCTTGGTTATTACTTGATTGTCTGTAGCTTATGCGTTGCAAAGGACCTTCCTAATTCCAACGGCAGGCGGTTTGACAACAGACCGCTTTGCGTTGATTTTAATAACGGCATCGAGACCATAATAGCAATGGAGGATTCTTTTTCACTCTAATCATCGTATAGGCATATAGGGCTAGATCTATATTTTATAAACTAATCGGAACTCATTGGGTGATGTGGTCAGCATCGCGTTGACCGTTTTTACTTCCCAGAGCTTCATCTTGTACCCACTTTCGGCTGGATCGCCCGGGGATGTCAGCTGTCTTGTTTATGCGGAATTCAATTAACGGGAACAAAGGGGGGGGGGGAGATTTTTTTTTTTAATTTGACGATTTCCTTGTGCAGATCACACAGTTAGTAAACGGAGCCTAAAGATAAGACGTCGTTCAAGATTGTTACTTAAAGGAGTATTTACAAATAAGTGTTGAACTATTACGTCATATAGTTGGCCTATCATTACTGCCTAGCAAAACCACAACAGCTAACACATGTCGGGGATTATTCTTCAACGTGCTGCAGTAAGTACGCATCAAACTGTTTCGTTGACTATTGGATTTTATAAAACCTGTTCGGCATACGGGTGTGTATTTGTGTTAATTGTTTGGTTACCTTAGATTCTCGTAGACTCGGTGTCCTCATACGGCATGGTTGTGGAGGGCAGTGGATTTATTCTGTATTCTCCAAAACTGAGCACCGAATCCACACGGCGAAACAAACTTTCCAGGAGAAATTACACGCATGCGCATTGTTGAAACCTAAATAGGGCTCCCAGGCAGGCTTAGGTTTAAATGAGTACCAGGAAAAGTCATCGGAAGTAAAGGAGTGATTTTAACCACTTCGCCCACAATTATTCCACAAAATGTTGTACTAATTCTTTAAATGTCAATGATTCATTTCCATACAGTAGCATGAAATGTATATAGCAAAAGAGAATTATCTTTCTCACCTTAATTGATGACCCCCCCCCCCCCCCCTTTTTTTTTTCACCCCACCCCAGTGCATAGAATATTCATGTTTGTAAACTGCTGCCTTTGCTTGAGATATTAAATACATTTTACGTCTTTCATACATCTTCCGTCTGGTGTTATCAGACTACCCAAGTACTTCAAAGTATCAACTTGACTGAGATTGTCCCATAACTTTGATGTCTGGTGTTATCAGACTACCCAAGTACTTCAACGTATCAACTTGACTGAGATTGTCCCGGTAACTTTGATGTTGCATTTCTGAGGGTCTATTTTCGTTGTAATTTATTAAACCCGACTACCAAACAACAACTTAACCAACCAGCCCTAACATTCTAATCGATTCCCTCGTAAATACATTTTATTCCATTCCCCTCGTTAATACATTTTATTCCATTCCCCTCGCTAATACATTTTATTCCATTCCCCTCGTTAATACATTTTATTCCATTCCCATCGTTAATACATTTTATTCCATTCCCCTCGCTAATACATTTTTTTCCATTCCCCTCTTTAATACATATTATTCCATTCCCATCGTTAATACATTTTATTCCATTACCCTCGCTAATACATTTTATTCCATTCCCCTCGCTAATACATTTTATTCCATTCCCCTCGCTAATACATTTTATTCCATTCCCCTCGCTAATACATTTTATTGCATTCCCCTCGCTAATACATTTTATTCCATTCCCCTCGCTAATACATTTTATTCCATTCCCCTCGCTAATACATTTTATTCCATTCCCCTCGCTAATACATTTTATTCCATTCCCCTCGTTAATACATTTTATTCCATTCCCCTCGCTAATACATTTTATTCCATTCCCCTCTTTAATACATATTATTCCATTCCCATCGTTAATACATTTTATTCCATTCCCCTCGCTAATACATTTTATTCCATTCCCCTCGCTAATACATTTTATTCCATTCCCCTCGCTAATACATTTTATTCCATTCCCCTCGCTAATACATTTTATTCCATTCCCCTCGCTAATACATTTTATTCCATTCCCCTCGCTAATACATTTTATTCCATTCCCCTCGCTAATACATTTTATTCCATTCCCCTCGCTAATACATTTTATTCCATTCCCCTCGTTAATACATTTTATTCCATTCCCCTCGCTAATACATTTTATTCCATTCCCCTCGCTAATACATTTTATTCCATTCCCCTCGTTAATACATTTTATTCCAATTTCCTCGTTAATACATTTTATTCCATTCCCCTCGCTAATACATTTTATTCCATTCCCCTCGTTAATACATTTTATTCCATTCCCCTCGTTAATACATTTTATTCCATTCCCCTCGTTAATACATTTTATTCCATTCCCCTCGTTAATACATTTTATTCCATTCCCCTCAGATGGAACATTACCCAGGATATCGAGGTCCAAAACGCCACCAAAGAAACGGTCACCATGAAGAACCAAACCGTGATCTTCAAAAACGGCACAGGAGACTACAATATCGAGGGCCTCGCCCTGGACAGCTCTGGGTACCTATGGCTGACCCAAAGTCCCTTCATCCTCGACTCTAACAACACTAAGGGAATCAACTTCAAAATCTATCGACTATCTGTTAATGACACAAATATTCTCTGCCCTGATTCTGTGGCACCACCAACTTAACGAGGAGGCAATATTTACTTTTCTTCTTTTTTTTTTTTTTTTTTTTTTGTGTTCACCAGCTGTACACTCTGGCGTAAAGTTCTGGTTGTTCGTCCACTTCTGGACTGCAGTCATGCTCCAGAACCTGAGTGTTGCATGTGCATCAGTTTCACAGATTTGATTCAATTGAATGCAGACTGATGGTTCCTTGCCTCTCAGGCAGATGCACTCCGACTTCAAAGGAAGCTCCCCAGTTAGTCGACTCTTACGACATGCTTTTGGGGAGGCAATGGGTCTATTCTTGTTTTCCCCACAATAGGGCCCCGGAACCCACACGGGGGAATATTTACTTTTAACAACATATGCGTTATTTCCAGCGCTATATGTTCACATATACTAGTAATATGTGTTTCAACTGATTCTATAAGAAAACTATCTCTATATCTTCTTTATGTCGCTGCTGGTTTATCTAGTATTAGAATCTCCATGTGAGAACAGATTGTTTGCGCAGCTATGGGATAACACGAAGTACATGCAGGTAATACATAGAGCCACAACAATGAGCTAAAACATAATGCAACTATGGAATGGAGCACACTTAATGACGTCGCTTGCGGGCGGGGGGGGGGGGGGGAGGAGGTGGGCGGGGGATAAGGGGTGGGAGGAGGGGGGGGGGTGAGGCGACGGAACGACACAAGTTACCAGCTATAACCGGCTTTACATGGGCCCGGTGTCAGAGGGCCACATCAAGGATGAAAAAAGTAAGTTTCAATACAGGAGGGTCTGAACTCCAGAACTCTTGGTAGTCCGGACGGTCCCTCAGCTGCAGATTAGTCTAATGCCGTCGGTTTGCCGGTAGATAGAGCAAGAATAGTTGCAAGAAATTCTTGCTTGATTCCAGTTAGGTATCAAGCTAAATTCTCAAGAAATAGTAAAAGTTTCGAGCGAAATAAGCGAAGTTTGACCAATTTTATTGTTTTCAAGTTTAGCTTGATGCTGAATGTTAATAAATGGTCGTAATATGCTGCTCGTTGATTATTCATTTAGCTTTGTTTTGAATTGAAATAAACAAAACAATTTAACAGCGAGCTAACTTTAGGAACTCTTGAAATTAAACTATTTTTTGTTTTGTTGAAGAATGTGAATTTCAGGTACTGGAATGCGTGAGACATAGTCTATTAGGATATCAGCAAATGACCCTTTCCTCCTCCTGACCCTAAGTTGGGAGAAATCAACCACCTGTGGATTTCCTCAAATAGACAGGTAGTTGGCTCTTCAAAGAGGCAAAACAAAGGCTGGTGTAATATTGACCCCGTGACCTGGAGGCTCTGCTACAATATTGACCCCGTGACCTGGAGGCTCTGCTACAATATTGACCCCGTGACCTGGAGGCTCTGCTACAATATTGACCCCGTGACCTGGAGGCTCTGCTACAATATTGACCCCAGTGACATGGAGGCTCTGCTACAATATTGACCCCCGTGACCTGGAGTCTCTGCTACAATATTGACCCCCGTGACCTGGAGGCTATGCTACAATATTGACCCCGTGACATGGAGGCTCTGCTACAATATTGACCCCGTGACATGGAGGCTCTGCTACAATATTGACCCCCGTGACCTGGAGTCTCTGCTACAATATTGACCCCCGTGACCTGGAGTCTCTGCTACAATACTGACCCCCGTGGCATGGAGGCTCTGCTACAATATTGACCCCCGTGACACAGAGGCTCTGCTACAATATTGACCCCCGTGACCTGGAGTCTCTGCTACAATGTTGACCCCCGTGACCTGGAGTCTCTGCTACATTATTGACCCCCGTGATCTGGAGGCTCTGCTACAATAATGACCCCCGTGACCTGGAGTCAGTGAAGCACGTTAAAACATGTTTTTTCCCACTTACCCAGAGGCAGCTCAGAAATATTCTGACACAATTTATCCACAGTGAAGGTGCACCATTTATGCACAGTCAATTGGAAAGTAATAGTTTTCTTCAGAGTAAATTTCATAACAATACTAGGGCACTACTAAATATTTCTCCTCTATACTGTATAGAGAATATATACAAGTCAACATGATCATATGGTTTAAGATGAGAGATGACAACATTCTCTCCTTATTCAATGTGCAAATTTGTGCAGTTTCCTCTTGTTAGATGAATTCAGTTCCTTATCATTGTGAATTTTTTGGTAATTATTTAGGAATATATTACACAGTGGAGTTAGCGCTTTTGTAATAATACCCGACTTTGGACACCCATGGGCACACACACCATTCACTTCATCAGCATAATATTTCTGAATACTGCATGTAACAATGCACATAAGTAGCTTCTTGTGCTGTTTACAGGACATGAATTTAGCTTCTAGTTCTGATGATATGAGCCTCTGCATAGCAGCAAAAGACACAAATGTCAACAGTGTAATCAACTTAGAAGGGTATTTGAAGCATCCTCGATCCATTAGCTCGATATACTCAGTGGAGAAATCTGGCTGAACATTAACTGTTAATGTTTTGTCAATTTGTAGCAAAGTCTTACATGACATGCACTGAACTTTTCTGGTGATCTTACTAGAGACAAATCCAGCAATATAAATCAATACTTCCTCTGTGCCTTCAACACAATACAACTCACAGTCATTAGGATCAATGTGGAAAAATACTTCGTCTAGATCAGACTGGATGACATCAAAAACATTATGGCACTCATCATCCACTGTGCTCACAGCCTCTGCAAAGTTGCGAATTGCAAAGTTTCCATTAACAGATGATGTCAGGCATAAAACAGAGTAAACCTTCAATTTCTTTTCTGCTTCCAAAATTTGTTTCACCGACACAAGATAGTTTGCACCTGACATTTGTCAATATTCACTAAATCTGGCTTCTAAATTATCTGTTTGTAGTTTTCCCAAAAGTAGGAATTCCACATTAAAAGTAAAAAAAAGAATAGTCAGCCAGTTCAATCACAGCTTTTACAGTATGCAACAAAGCAGTATGTGTCTCTCTTGTTAGTTTTCCCTTCAAAGCAGGCACCTTAGTCCATTCAGTCAACCAAACAAGAAAGTTTTTCAAATAATGAAGTGATTCATCATTAACTGAAGTGAGTGGACTGGCAAATATGTTACCAGTATTTCTACATGAGAATCCACTCTTAACATTCATAACATGCCACCACCTCCAAATGGCTTGAATAAAATCTGCTGTTTCTTGATTTCTTACAAACTTTAGAGCAGCAATGTTGTACTCACTGAAAATAGCAAGAGCTAGTGAAACATTCTGCCTTTCTATACTGGAATGGTAAAGAGCTTTGTATCTTAAAGTTGGTGCTAACTTCACAATGTTGAGGCGCTCGGTCTGGTATAGATCCTTCAAATGTGAAAAAGAAGCACTTGCTACTTTGCTGGTATAATTTGAGGTAGATGCTGCATTCAGCATTAACCCAGCTGTGGAAGGATATGAAAATGTCTGCTCTGTGTCTTTCTGATTTATCCAATTTCTCCATATACATTTAAGCAGGTGAACAGAGTCATACAGAAAGAAGATTTTGTTGCCTGGAATGCCTGCATGTACTGCTGGACTTGAGAAGATTGTTGTACACTTTGCGGTTAACAGAGTAGTTGTCTGCAATAACTGCCAAAACTGTAAAACCACATTCTTGAACAGTTTTGATTATCTGAAGCAATTTTGCACTTAGATCCTTTGATGTCATCCGTGCATTGGTGGCAACTCTTCAACTTCGTGGTAACTACCAAATACAGAAGAAATCACAAAAGCTTGTATCGTTGTTGTTGAATGTGTTGAGTTTTCAGCTCTACCAAGTAACCGACCTCCTGAGTAATTTACAGCTGATTTCACATGGATTTCATCTTTTCCAAATCAGAAAGCCTGCACTCTTTAAATTTTAAGTATCCAGAAATGCTCCCATCACTGTTAGACAGTGTGCAAGGTGAAGTTAAACTTGTTTGTGTGTTCGGATGTGGGAGACACAATAACATAGATTTTCTGATAAATATTTAGCATGCAGGAGATTTGATGAAAATCATATAGGAAAAACACAATGTACAACTGCTGTAGCGTCTGGCATATTTGCTCTTATTAATCAGTTGAATCTGTTCTGTCATAAACATTAATTGCTTTTCAGTTGTCTGTACATTAGTGTCCTCAGATGATAACAGGAGTTCTCTAGCAATATCTAAGTTACTGCAAGCTTCTTCCAACAAATCACTGAAACTCTTCCAATTTACTTTTAGTAATAATCCTATCAAGATCTTGACAAGCAACCTGTTTACTTTCCAGATACACTTCTACACACATATCTGGTAAGATCTTTACACTTACTGATATTGATGGTGCAGTGTCTGCTTTCACACTGACTGAGTACAATACAAGACAACATGATGTACCCTCTGAGACAATAAACATTTTCCAGTTCGTATCTAACAAGTCTTTTAATTTGGTGATAATCTGACACTGCAGCGTTTCAAAATCCTCTACAGTATCCATTGATAGCCACTCGCTGTTATTATTTTCATATCTGCTGACAATTTTTGATGCTCGTTTTTTCGGATTTTTGCGAGCTTGTGGTACTTCAACTGATAAGTAGGCTGGCAGTTCTGGGAACACAGATGAGATGGATATGCATTTGATTTTAAAATATGATACTTTCTGGGTACTTCATGTTCAACACCAGATTTATCTGTACATTTGTTCGATACAATAATATCACGGGGAAGAAAATGATGACGATACACCACGCTGCATTTACTAGGCGACCAATCTTTGCATGGTATGCACTTCTTCCATTTTTCTGTCATTTCAGAATCCCTTGGGAATTTGAATACAGTTACATATTCACTCGTCGATCTATAATTAGATTTGCATAAAGGAATACTACATTTCCTAGGCATTTTTATTTATATATTCACACGCAAAACAGTTAAATATAGTTAATGGAGTATGTATCCTCAACACTCAAAACATCCCAACAAAGAACACATCGGTCGAAGAAGGAAGGAAGTAGGA